ATATATTATTTTATGCTTTAATAGGGTTGGGGATTATGTAATGCTTTAATTTAGTCTTCAGGTGTCTTCCACTTATGAAACCGATTTCTTGATTGTATCAATTATGAAAATTAGGTGGCTATTTCAAAATATATTTCAACTTGTTAATTTATAATGTAAAAAGTGTTCTTCTACTGTCAAGTTTTCAAATCACACAGAAATGAAAATGTTTTATAATCATAATTTAAAATTACTATAGCATTGCTTGGTTTATGTAATTTTAACATTATCTCAATATTGTTTTTCATTGAAAACAAAGATATTAATTACTCCTTCCAATGGTTATTTTCTAAATGCATCTACATTTTGCAATCATATTTTCTATGACAGGAAGTAACAGTAGATTAAATCTCATAATTACTGTGAGAGTTCTAAATTACTTTAGCAATATATCATAGAGAAATCTTGGAACTCAGTTTCTTTTTTTAATTAAAACATACTAATTGTGTTTATACCCTGTGAACAATTCAAGATATAAAACTTTTTTTCCAGTTTCTGTTTAGTTTGCTTTGCTTTAAAGGAGAGGACCAGTACCTATTGTACTGTACATTATATAAAAACTTTTAAAAACATCTTACTTATTTTATAATACTGTACATGTAAAATCTCAATATATTTTATAATGTTATGTCATTGGTTATACATTTTTCACATATATCTTAACATAGTAATCTAATAAAGATACTGCAGTTTGTACAGATGTTCACTGTTGCAAGACAAACTATGTGAAAGCATAGCCTAGAAAGACTAAATTGATTGGCCATCAGGGATCTAACGTTCTTAGTATTCTAATAGCAATCAGTCAATTAGATTCTTCCAACACACATCTGTGACACAGACAGAAGATCAATTATTTCACAATGCTTGACAGCAGAAAACACTAAATAAAATTGCATTTTATTGTTTTTCCATGAAACCGTGAATACCAGATTTGATTATTATAAATAACATGATTTTCTAAGTTGACGTATTTCCTATGCACATGCATCACATTGCTGAATTATGACCTAAGAACTGTTATATTGTAAGTATTAATATACTGGAATGTTCTTTTTTATGTGTGCTACCATCTGATACAAAAGATAGTATTTTATTTCTGAAATTCCACTGTTTGGTACTTCTTTTTAATCAACACTCATAATT